CAGCTCGCTCATTTGGCAAACGAGCCGAGCTCGAGCTCATTTAAAGCTTGTTCAGTTAACGAGTCGAGCTCGGCTGAGCTCGCTAAGATAATTTTTATGTATGTTTCTATAGTTCGACTCGACTTTGGCTCGTTAAGGCTCGAGCTCGACGCGTTAATTGATAAACGGCCGAGCTCGAGCTCAATTATAAGCTCGTTAAGGACTCGAGCTCAATTTGGCTCGTTTAATACCCCTAAATGCCTTATTTTCCTTATTTGGTCATGAGGAAGGAAGAAAAAAAAATCGCAATTCTAGTCGTGTTTTTTATCTGACACTCATTAATTATGAATTTTGTGTTGGTTGCAGTCAATTGCGAAAGCAGTTGGAGATTGGTATTACGACAGAAGTCCGTTCAAGAAGATTGATTGCCCGTACCCTTGTGACAAAACATGTCACAACCGGGTTTTCGACGATAATGAGCACCCGTTGATCTAGATTCTCATTGTTATGCCAAATGAAGATATTGTTGAAGGGCACATACATATATGTACAAGAAAGTGAAGGAATTCAACTATTTATCAAGGCCTTTATATGAAAGAAAATAAAAGGAGACCAAAGCAGACTTTGGGGGTTTCTATTCTTACTGCACTATTTAGTATTTAACATCATGAATATATTCTGTTGATGTGCAAATTCATATTTTAATTGCACTTTTACTTGTTTAAAGCATTTTTATTGGTTATTATCGGTATGTAACATAGAGCTTTATAAGCTTAAACATTTGTGTTGGCAAATATCACATAATATTTAAAGCACCCTGATTCTTTACCTGCTAATTTTGACTCCTAATATATTGTTTTTACTTTTAAGAGCTATATAGAAGAGGTTAGCCATATTCAGCAACCATGGCTTTGTTTGCATAATGAACTACAGAAGAAGTTTACTATGGTCAGTTAGACAATTGTTAAACTTGCTCGAAATAGAAAGAAAAACTTCAGAATGCAATAATATCAGTGTGTGATTCGACGTCTTTCAACAGCATCAAAGGCTCATTCGACTCGACTGTCCCGAGAATTAATCAACGGTCACCAGTGCACGAGATGCTGATCCAATTGAGCCCTCATATCTGTACAAGCAGTAGAGCCAATATAATAAAAACACAACATCAATTACTGAAGAAACAGAACTAGCAAAAAAAAAAAAAAGGAACCACATACGGGACCATGTGAAGAGGTGAGCAACGGTGCGGTTCGGTAAAAGACCACACCAAACTAGCAAAAAACGGAAAAACCAAACTAGCAAAAAGAATAACCGAATCGAAATATTTTTACACTAAGATAACCGAACCGAATCACACCGAAATGCAAGTTTCGGCGCGGTTTTTGGTTTTTCTACACATTTTATTCAATTTGGTACGGTTTCGTGCAAAACCGAAATTCGAACTTATTATTAAAAACTGTAACCTCACCACACCACGTCGTAATGTAGGAAATCCAAACCGAAGCCAAAAGGAACTCTTTTTACATAACCCAAAAAAAAAAAGCACTTAATTGAATGATTTGGCTCGATTTGGCTCACCCCTACATACATCTGAGTCTGAATTTCCCTTGGTCATTGTCCTACAAAGTTTTAACCATCGGATCACATACACTCAAACGCACCACAGACGGGTGTTTGTTGATTCAATGATTAAAACCATGTGAGGCTGATGAAATTCACCGTAACAAACTGCATAGTAACCCCACATCTTAAGAAGAATCTCTAGCTCGGACTTATTTTCCACCAGAAATAAGTACGCATGGACGACATAATTTGATAATTTACAATGCTCTGTTTCTTAATATATGTTTATTAACTTGTCAGTTGTCACACATGTACACACAGGTCAGCATATTACCGAACACATCATTTTTCCGCCTTACCTTGAGCAACCAGGAGTATATCCTACTCCATGTCCATGCAGCAGTGGATATGTCTGCCTGCACCACCAAAACTGCAATCTTTGCCTTGAAAGCTGATCCTAAAAAATATGACAAAAGAGAAATATGCTAGTCCTGGAAATTTTCCTAGTATAGTATACGTGATGCATGGGCCATCCAACAAGAATCACATCCTAACCATGAAAATAGAATGTTCCCACATTGCTCTATTGTGGTTCGTGATGATGTGGCACCAACACAGATATTCATGAAAAAGGAGTCGACAATTCCGGTCGTGTTTGGAGAATGTGATTGTGCTATGCCAGCTCGGCAACCACTCAATAACAGAGCAAATGGGTGAGAAAGGATTTGAACAGTTATGGCTTACTACAATTGCATTAATTATTACCCTTCATACGGCCTAAATCTCATATACTTTCAGATGTAGAATAGAATTAGCAATTACGAAGTAGTCTCCTCCAATAATAGGTATCGAGTATCGACACACAAAATTAAGGAAAAATCTACTCAAAAAAATGGCCACTTTTGGACAATAAATTAATACCCAATAACAAATCAAAGTTGCTCCTGTTGGGGTAGGACAACAAGCGCAACGGACAAAAATACCCTACAACAAATATGACAAGCACTATTCCAAAAAAATAAGCCAACAAAAATAAATAAAAGACGAGAAAGAAAAAAAACACGGAAATTGATAACGGAGTTCGACCAAAATTGCCTACGTCTTCGGGCACCGCCAACCACAACGCCAAATTTACTAAACTCACTAACAAAATACATTTAGGGTTAAATAACCTACAAATTAAAATTTTATTAATTAAGGATTTCATTCTAAGATAGAAGAGAATAGAATAAGGTGCAATTGTAAGCAAAGGTAAGGGACCTATTTATACTAATAAGATCATACACACCTTTGGTTTACATCCGATGTGGGACAACAATTAATCAAAAAACTAACAGCTCCATGAGCATCCCTACTCAGGCCGACTTAAAATGTACTTCAAAATAGAACATTTCTTTCAAACCATGTTGATGCATAATGCAGAGGAATTCTAGAGGCAAGGTCACGCATGAATATGTAAATGTTTCCAAACAACCCTGAAGGTCTGATGATATCTATCTATCAATGGTACAACTGAATCAAATCAGGTTGATCAAGAACAATTTTATCCAGAATCCAGCATGATGAACACATATCCTAGCTAATGCAAAATATAACTCATGCTATTAACTGCCAACCACGGGATAAGGCATAACAAAAGATAGAAATCAATTATAGAGATGTTAGATTCAGTTTGTTCCAGAAATATGTCCTATTACAGCAGAATATCCTTTCCAACCACACATAAACAAAAAAACTCATCTAAGAAACAGAGAAACAAAGTGAAACGAAGCTAAATAAATAACTCAAACACTTGAGCAAGAGGGCATAAAAATCTTGTACTGAAAAACCCGACATCAATTTTTACAAGTTTGCATCTCGAGACATAAAACAAGCCAGCATACATGTATAAGACGTAAGATCACCCGATTGCACTCAAAGGCAAGGAATAAACACGGCAGACGTGGATTACAGAGATTGACAGGCAGAATAACCTCACCTGACAATTTTTTTGGATCAATGAAACTGCTAAGACAACTTGAGAGACAGAGAAACAATACAGATACATCATGCCCTTCAACAACAGTTCCATTTTCAAAGACACTTGTCAGAATCACCACTCTTTTTCAACCATTTGTAATCTCAATCAGCTAAACCAATACAGAGCATGAAAAAACATATGAATTGTAACCATAACATCCATGTGTAACACAAACAGCACCAAACAAACACCAATTCAACATTCCAAATCAAGATCTACCCAATCAGATACATCACTCACAGAAAATTTAATCAGATCCAAGGATATCCCAGCTTTAAATCAACAAATCAAATCCAAATCTAAACCTTCCAACAAAAAACAAAAAAACAAAATTAAGCTCATTCGAATCACACATTCACCGCGGACTCCGATTCAGTTGATGCAAGGCGGGAACCATACTTTCCGCCATAAACGACGACGATGCCGTTTAAATCTCGCAAGCGACGCCGCAGCCGCCGCCGGCGGAGATAGTTCCCGACCTGCACCAAGCGAGTCAGAGGCCGCCGCAATCGACGCAAATCCATAACCAAAAAAGGGCATTGGACTATTTTATTTGTATATACAAAAATGTTTGTGGAGAGAGATCTAAGGAAGAATAAATCTTGCCCAAATTTAGCAAGGGGCAGCAAAGCAAGGGTTTGCGTGTGAGTAAAACGCCCGAGGCGATTAGGGTTATTTATAGGTGGAACCAACGCGGGCGATGTTGCCACGACGTCGTCCATTACAGATTGCTCGCCAGTGGGCGTAACGGGAATTAAGGGGAAAACTGCAATATATATATAGCCCGGGGCATAATTGCAATTACAACATTTCATTCTTTCCAATAAAAATACTTGTGTTTGTATTTAAAATATCAGTAATGCTAAGGAGCCAACAGTT